AGGTAATCCCAATGGGAGGAACAGCTGCAGCTTCACACAGGTGCCTGTTCCTCTCCTTACTCCACTGGAAAGAGAAACAAATAGCTTTCCCTCTTCTTATTCCAATGTAACCTTTTCTTTTTTTCTTCTTTTTTTTCCTCTAGAACAGAAATCAGTATGTTTTCAGAAGCTACTGTGTCTGGAATAATTATCAGGCTGTCAGCTCTTCTCTGAATTGCTTCTTCCTTCCACTAAGGGTACTGAACTCAGTGCAATCTGAGTTTTACAATGCAATCGTGTCAGGATTAGCGGATAATTCATCTAGGACACCAGCTTTGTACTTTGTTAGGGAAAAAGTGCTGACAAACTTCACGGGTGGTGTGTGCTGCTGTGCAGGGTGAGGTGAAGCAAAGCTGCTCTGTAGGGCTGCTCAGTGCGGGCAGGCAGCCGGCCGATACACTGTGTGCTGCTTCAGAGCTGAGTTTGTGGGCTGAGTGTTCGGGCCACGGAGCGCTGCGGCTCTCGCAGTGGTCTGTGCTTATCCTGCCTTCTTCTCTAGTAGTGCTGCATGACTCCGTGTAAGGCGCGTCACTTAACAAAAGCCACCAAGAAAGGGTATGAGATTCATAGAGTGGGAAAGGGAATGGGATTTAAAGCCTGAAATGAAGCTTCATTTAGGCTTTCCATATGGGATATGTGAACAGAAAGTGGCTTTGCCTCGGAGAATCCATTGAGTTTTGGACTGCATCTAAAAAAGGAAGCAGAGAAGTGAAACGTTATCCACCGTCATGGATTTTTATATCATTTAAATTCATACTAATTTGCTGTTCAGTAATTAAGTTCCTTCAGATTTAAGGGAAATCAAGATCCAGCTAGTGTGATTAATCTTGTGAATAAAAGGGTTTAGGATTAAACATTCTTTGTGTGACACTTCAGCAGTATGCTTTTATAAAAGACGCAGCAGGACTTAGTCTTGAAGTGTCAGAATACCTCCTTTAGTGACAAAGCATTTATACATTTAAATTTTCGAAGAAAGTTGGCAACCCTTTTACAGGTTCAATTTGCACCTGTCATTCACTTGTAGATGCAAATTTGAGTTACTTGCAGCTCTAATTACAATACTTGATTGTCATCACAAATCAGGTAGTAAGAGGTGAAATGATCGAGGTTTGTGCTGTCATTTGTTGTTAAAACATGAGTGCAAATGTTATCATCAAAAAGCAAAGACAACCGGAGCTTTGCCCTGCTGGTAGTTCTACAGATAAGTGCATTATGCAAATACAAGGAGTTTACAGGGAGGAGTAAGGAAAGAAGGGAGTGTGTGGTGAAAGCAAGACAATAAGTGACAATACAAGGTGGATTATTTTGTCTATTGCAATAAATTATGACGGCAGAAATTTTTTTCAGTTTATTTTTGCCATTAGACCTAACTGCCATTTGTACATCTAAATATCATTTCTGTTAAGTATTCTAGTTTTTTTCCTTCTGCTGACAGGTTTATAATTTTCAAATGAAAGAAGATAATGATATAATATTATTCATCAGATGATTATTGTGCTGCATCTTTCCAGTTTGTCATTGCCTTTATAAGAAAAACTATTACATAGTTACGTTTTAATTTCAACATATAAGACTTGGATTTTTTTTTTTTTAATTTTCTTCGCTAAAAATGCTGAGATCTGTTAATTATAATTCATCATTTTCTTTTAAATTATAGAACATAGGTAAAACACATCATTGCGCTTCAGCTAATATCTGATAGGTGGATAATTCAGCACTGATGGTTTTTTTGTTCACCTGGAGGGCTTGCACAAAAAAGGTAGTTTGAGTAACAGAGGATTGGTTATTTTGTACTTCCATCTGAGCAGTGCCTAAAAAGGCAAGGTGGCTTCACTTGAGGTCACTTCAATTTTGAATTAAACCAAACAAATGAAGAAATATCCAAGAAGCTGCTTATTTAAGATCATATGTGTGTCTCTAATCTTTTAAGGTGCGCACTAAGAAGTTCCATGGAGTTGCAGTCCATTCAGTGAATTGTTCTAATAGCACTTCTTTCAGCAGTGTTCCATAATCTCACCTCTTTCCCTTTCTGTTGAACAGGCACCTGAGCTCAAAGGATTATTATTACTGTGGTGATTTCTAAATTGCTAGATCCCAAGCATCTACTTAACCTAATATAAAAGGTCCTTTATTTGTTCTGACTTTTCTCATTACTAAAGGAGAACTCTTTGGCCCAAACGATAGCTATACACTAAAGAAGAGATGTATTAAGTCTAGGAGATTTGTTCTGTTGTTTTGCAAAATGGTGTCAACTTCCACTATCACTTCTTACGATGAACAGCTTTCCAAGGCCAAGAAGCTAATGACATCCCAACCTCCATTCCTCCCATGCGCATCTGGACTAAAAGGCCACAGCTAATTTCTGCTGAATCAAGAATTTATAATCAGCTTTAATGTATTTAGGAGCTAAAGTACATTAGTCCTTCATCAGAGGGAGTGATAAGAAACAGTATTAGTATGGCTGGACTTTAATTATTTCTGAGCACATAATTACTCTTCTGTTAAGTGGGCAGGAGTTATGATACTTCCTTCATTTTGAGCAAAGGAAAGTCGCCTGCGAACACACAGTGGTCAACTGCAGAGGTTCTTCTCCCTTTCTCTGTGAGGCAGAGAGAGAAAGAAGAAAGCAGGTTTAACCTGTAACATCTTAAACATAGCTCAGGTAGTCCCTTTGGGAAAGAATCTGGGTACGGTGTGTATTGCGGCACGATGATAAGGAAGGTGGCTTGAATTTATACTTTCACAGAAACTCAGAATTGTATAAATAATAAAATCAGCCTGATTATTTTTAGTAGCTAATCCAAATAATGTTTCACTGTATGGTGAAAGTCATAGTATGAGATTGGTTCTTTGTGTTACTTGTTGAAGATTTGACTAGATAATCTTAGAGGTCTTTTCCAACCTTAACGATTCTATGATATTTAATGCTCTGTGCAACTGTTGTTGAGATTTGGAACCATAAAGGCCAGTTATGTACATATTTTTTAAAAGTAATACCGGTTGTGGTTTCATCCAGAAAAGAAATAGCTCCTTTCTGTGCAAGTTATTTGGAGAACTGTATGCTGTTTGCGCTTCCAGATTCTACTTTATTCCTTTCTGGAGACCTTTAAAAAATTAATATAAAAACCATGTCCATGATTTGTGTGTGTATATGTTCAGCTGTGCCTGGTTCTCCATTGCAGTTAAATGCACAGCTCTAAGAATTTTAAGCTAATTCTTCCCATACCTGGAAACCCACCGTGAAATAATTATTCTTTGCATGCATCTTTTACTTTTGTAGTTTTATTCTTTTGGAAGTAAGTTGCTGTGCTATGAGAATAACGGGCAACAAGTCATTTGAATGTGTGTATTCAGATATGATCATGGTATCTAGACGCCGTATATTGTAAGGATTACAATCAGGGCTTCTGGTACAAAAAGCTATTGTGCTCACTACAGAATGGTTGTTGCAGTTGTAACTATGAAAATGCTTGTATTTAATTTCTCGTGTGTAATTCTAGTGGTTCTGTATTTAGAATAAGTTTAAAGCGATACTTCTGGCTGATGCAGTAATTGAGGTATTGAGTTTTGGTTCTCAGTAACATGGTCCAGCTCCTAAATTCACAGCTAAAATCTCATGGTGCTTCATGGGTTGTTTCTGTTTCTCAAATCCATGCACCCGGTACGAACATTTTTTATTTTTAAATGCATCACTCAAATACATAGTATTTCACCAAAGACCTACAGGTTTACTGCTGAATGACTAATATCCTGTAAAAGAAGAGCTTCTTCAATGCAAATGTTATAACAATGGTGCTCAGATTTAATGCATGTCTCTTGCCTACATCTACTGCAGATATCAGCACATACCTTTCATCTTTTTTTGTTGGTGTTTTTGTCTATTGCTATTTTATGCATGAGATGGTTCTTGTTTTCAACTCTGTGCTTGGCTGGCTTTTTTTTTTTTTTTTTTTTGTTACTTAGTCCTGTGTTTGTACTGATTGCTTTTTTGCATGCAAATTACAGAATGTCATGGAAATGAGAGCTCTGAAAAAAAAAAAAAAAGAGAGAGAAAAAATAGGAAAGATAATGCTGAGTTCCAACTGTCTTTTGTTTGTGCGTAAGTGTGTAAAATATGACGTGGAAATATTTTCAAAATGGCCTTTGACTTTCCTTCTGGTGTATATTTTTATTACTCAGTAAAAGCGTGGGCATTTTTCCCACTGGAAAATGTGATGAATCTATTAAGACTTGTTCATGATATAGTGCTGGGCATGAAAAAAATGGTGTTGTAAACTATTTATGGAAATAAGAAATTATTATAGAGTGCGTTCTGCCCAAGCTAGAAGTGCAATTCCACACTCAGTGTAACTTCTGGGTACTGTGGTGAAACCCTGGCCCCATTGAAATCAATGGCAAAAATCTTTGCTGTCAGTCGGTCTTGGATTGCACATTTGTTTTGTCTTTACATAAGGATTTTCATGGTTCTTCACAGATATCTCAGCAGGTGGTCAAAGGTTTCAAGGGAAACTACAGTTCCCTTAAAATGAGAATGTAATAAATGTTTAAAAAAGAGAAAAAAAAAAAGCAGATGTTTATTAGCTACCTCATTGTATCAAATGAAAGATAATTTGACATTTGTCTCCATTATTCCTAATAAGAAATGTAAGTGCTTATTTATAGTTTATTACAGTGGGTATGCTTTTAGTAAACAAGCTTTGATTCTTCATTTGACAAAAATAAAGCACTGGGCACGCTTTGATTCGTGTGCTAGTTGTTTCTAACAGCCATACCCCTAGGGAAGGTTTTGCAGTAATATTTAAAAACTTAATGAAAAATTGGTTGTTAGAAACTAAGATTTCCCTCCTTGCAAATGCTTTTCTTGAAACGTCCATGGGAATTTAATATCACTGTTTTTTTCCTCAGTCTTGTATATTCTTGAATTGTCTTTTTTCCTCCATTTTCTCCGTTCTCAATCCTAGGTCCCCTTACAAAGAAACAGACAGATGATTTAGGTGATAATGACGGTGCTGAAGATGAAGGTATTTTTTTGCCGCCAAACTGATTTGCATGACAAGGATCCCTGAAAATCTTTTTTCTCCCCTCTTTTTTTGACTTCTTGTCTTCTTTTGAAGAGTTTTTTTTTTATTCCCATTTTTGATGTGTTTTGTCTTCTTGCTTGTTGTTATACATATATATATATTTTACATTTTTTAAAAGAAAATGTCATTAAGTTCTACGTTTTGATACAAAACAGTAACAATATTTAAAGCAGAGGGTTTTTTGTTTTCTTGAAATGGACTTTTGATATGTTGCATTCCACCTTTTGACTCAATTTTGTCCATTCTATTTGAACTAACACTCTTTTAAAGTTTCTCTGTACACCTTTTTGCATGTTTTCTAACCCTATGTATTTCACCAAGTAAAAAGATGTTTCTTTTTTTTTTCACTGACTGATATCAGTTTGATAAACTTATCAAATATTTTGTTCGTAAGAAGAAAAATACAGAAAACTTAAAAAGTGTCTCTTAAGCAACTGAATCTCCCCAAATATAAAACCTTCTGCATTTATGGTGACCTGAACAAATACAAGTAATTGCACGATTGCCCCACCTCCTGTGGAAGGGGGGCAGCCCTGGAGCAGCTGCAGTACTTGCAGTTGGTGAGGCTCTGCACAGCAACTGTGAATTCAGTGGAGCTAAGCTGATGTCATCTAAAGGAATCTGATCCCATCTGTTTTCTGCAAGTATACAAAGATAACTATCTGCTTGTGTTCCTTAGAATCCCTATTACCAAGTAATATCAAAACTTTGAAATGTCAAGCATACAGTTCTGTTTGTGAATTCTGTTATAAGCTGAGCAGATTTGATTTTTGTTCAAGGCAGTGAAAATGGTAACAAGGGGCTCTATCTCCTCAGCAGTCTCTTCGTTTCAATTAGATTTATTTCAAAGTTCTGAATCTTAAGCACGTACTTGATATTTTTCATGGTCAATGAGTAAAGCACACATGAGCCTGGTAGTTTCTATTTGTTTCTCTGTTAACATTTCTTTTTTGGCCGGATATTACAATGAAGCCTAATTTGTAAACAGTAAAGCTCTTAATAAGATTTTAATCATAGAGTACAGTAACTGTTTTGGTCTTATCACAAAAGATCAAGGGAGGGAACTATGAGCATTCAGTTTCTTAGCCAATAACAGAACAGACTTTATGTGTAAACTCACAAACTTCTTTCTTTTTCCTTAATCCTCTTCTAAAGTGCGAGTTAAGTATGTAAATGAAAGGCCACCAGGTGGCCCAAGGTTTGAAAGAAGACCTAATTGAAAACCTCATCTGAAAGCTCTCATGCTATTCAGAACTGAGTATGGCAATTGAGATCCATTTAGCTCTATGAGTCCGAGTCATTTTTACATTAGTTCATGACAAAGCATGGCAGAAGATATTCTTGTGAATTTTGTATGAAACGTTACATTGGATTAGCCTCTGTAAGAGGGAGTCTGTCTTGTTTTAACAGTATGTTTCAAGAAATGGTTTGAAACCTAGTTTATTCATCAAGTGAACCTTAATGGCTCTCCTAAGTTGCTGTATTGCTGCCAGGACAGATGCTGATGCCTTAACATTTGTTGAGCCAGTGTCTAAGTAGACACACTTACAGGATATTACTAAAACAGTTTGCTAAAATTCAGCAGTGGCTGCTATCAGAAAGCAGTTTAACACACAGTCAAATGAGAGTAGGGATCTCGGTCTTTGGAGAACCGGCATCCATGTCAGGGAAAACCCAAATCCCACATTGACAGCTGTAGGAGAGAGAGGGCTGTAAGAGCACAGCAGTCAAACTGGAGGGAAAAAACACATTTACAACATTAATAAATCTCTATTTTATGGGACGGGGATTAATTTTCTCTGGCATACAAGTGGCAGTTTTGTTCTCCTTTCTATGCCAATAGAAGAATGTGAGCATTAATTAGATGTTTGTTACTTCCAAGAGTCACAAAGAGACAGGGCAAGCTTCAATTTTTATGACCAATAGATGCTGAAGGCTGCTGGGAATGTCTGCTAGGTTAGTAGAAACCATGTGTGCTGAGGCACAGCGTTTCACTGTCTCTCAGGGGAGGAGTTGCATTGGATGCCCCGTGTTTTGTGAACCTGTTCTCTGCACTGGAGCTCTCGTATGTGTTGCATATTCAGAACTGAGGAGTTCACAAACTACCTGTCGTGTATTTGGATATGAGTATGAGGAAAGAGAAAGGAAGTACAAAGCCACCTTACTTGTCTAGATTTCTGATCTGCCCATTAAACACTTTTCCTTTTGCAGTATGATACATTTTTATATTGATTAAAAGTTCAGTTGTGATACTGGGAAAAAAAAGCTGAATTAATGATGTAGTTGGAATTGGGAGACCTGGCTTGCATGGCGAGAAGGACTGTCTCACATAGCCACAGAATCCAAGCTACATAAGCAGATGTCCAATGATATTTAAAATGCCCAGGATGGTTTCTGTATTACTTAGGAATTTCAGAGCTCCCACTTACATTTGCTGTAAGCCCTTCTCCATGAAAAATCTCTCATAGCAGCTCCTTGGCTCAAATGCCTGGAAAGTATACTATGTTGTGTCATTCATGCATCAGAGTTTGGTCAGAAGATTTCATTTGAGAACAGTGTTCAATAATCCTACTCCTGTCTGCCACGAGTCACTACCAGTATTGCTGTCCAAACCTTGTCAGCACAAGCGCTGGAATCAGCAATCAAACATGGATCTCTGCTATGTGCTGCAACCAGTGGACCAGGCTTAATTAGATCATTTTTCATTTTTGTTTTGAAAAGGCCCAAAGGCAGTAGTGCACATTACCAGCTAATGATCTGCAAATTTGCTGTTTAAAAAAATGAAGGTGTTTTAGGTGTTTTCAGATTTTACCAATGTGAAATGTGTGCACAGTCAAATCATATGAATATCCTTTTTCTCCCAGTCTGATAGCATTCTGGTTTGTGTAACCCTTCCATGGGATTGCTTACCTGTTCAATAAACATTGAATTACTTGGGCAGGCACCAAGAATATGAGTGGCAAAAAGACCCTGCAGCCAGTGAGCATCTTTGAATTTTTATAGCAGTGGTAGATTTGCCTATTTGCTGACATTCAGGTAAGCAAGATCTAGCGTGGAAGCAAAATGTAAATCATTCAGCAGTTGAATAAACAGCACCTTCCTCGTGCATGCACACAGTCTAGAGGAGAAGTTTGGCTTGAAAAGCAAAATATCTGGGTAATGCTAATATATTTCTACCAGTCTTAATTTTTGTAAAGCAATACTTTGACTTCATTTAATATGGCTACAGGAGGAAAAAAAAAGAAGCTCTTTATGCGCTCTTATTTCCTGTATGCTAAAATTCCTAGCATGACTTAATACAGCAACACAAGTTATTAATCAGACTACATACTCAGTGATCACAACTGGACTTCTAAGTAGTTATGCACTATTAAATATCCATGAAGGATTGCTCACAAATGAATTCTTCTCATCCACCATTCTGTCAACCACACATTACTTAGAAAATCAGTCTGTCAATCTTAGATCCTTATTTAGTCCCCAGTGTTATCTGAGCATCTCAATTTTTAATGTATTCACTGTCACAACATTCTTCTAAGATAGAGGAATGCTATTATTCCATTTTTAGAAATGAGGAATACAGACATTGTGAAGAATGCAGATGCCATGTCCACAGCAAAGCAGGGAACTGTCAGTGCATGCCTCGAAGTGAAGGCTGCAGTGTAATTGCTAGATGCAGCTATTCTTCCCTTCTCCGTTCCAATCCCTCCTGTGAAATAGGAGACAGATTGGGAACAGATGTTGCTGTTTGTTCACAGGCTGTAACTGTGATCATTCTGATCATTTAGTGTGATGCTCTGCCTTACAGGGGCCATTGAACTTCATAGAATGAAGGAAGTTCTTGGTCCAGAGCATGTTTTAAATCAAAACCAAAATTCTCTCTTCAATTTTAAATTGCTAATGATGCAAAATCCATCTGCAATTTCCTTCATATGCTTAACAGACTGTGGCTTCACTGGCACAGGAGAAGAAAGCGTTTCAGAAATCAGGATCTTTTCCAGAAAATCCTATTGCTCTATTAGTATTAAAATAGACTAGGTTGCTAAGTTTAGCTTTTTGTCTGCTTTCAGCTGTCATGGTAAGAAATGGGGAGAGAAACATTCTTTCCTTCTGGCTCTAGTTGTACATTTTTGGACTTCAGAGATCAGTAAACAGCAGAACACATTCATTTACCTCACAAAGCAACCACAAGTTCCAACTATAATTATGGCCTCTAATGAGTTCCATCCAGGCAGGAGTAGCACAAATTCTGACTCCTATGTACAGATTCTCATGTTATTTGCCTATTAAATTTTGGCAATGTTATTTTCCATTTACACAGAGAAGCTCAATTCAGATGATGAATTCTAGTGAAATTAACACTTGAAAAAAAGCATAGTAAAAATTTTGACAGACCTTTAGTTTAAGGACCTCTTTGGGCTCTGCTATATTTTTATCAGTGTTGAGTATTGCTTGTACAGTGAAGAGTCTGAGCTTTTGCATTTCTAGCCATCCTTTAACAGCTTAAAATTGCTATTTAGCTGGCCATTGAGATCCCACTGTAATTTGAACATGCTCCACATGCATACCTGTAGCAGCCTTCAAAAATTCTGTCCCTTTTTTTTTGCATTGCAAGAGAAATATGTTTTTCATGGACCTCCATTAGGAATGCAATTCCCTTTCTTTCAGGCAAGTGTAATTAGGCATTCCAGGGTACCCCCAATGATCCTTTGGTTTCATAGATACAAAAATAAATGGAAGAAAAAGAGTTGTTAATATTTAGCTCAAACTTGAGGGGTAGAGGCAGTCTTTTAACATATGAAATAGGGCTGAAACTTTCACTGCATTCCCACCAGAAGTTCAACAGATGTTTTAGAAGTCTCAGGCCACCTAGTTAATATCACAGGTTTAAAATATAACATTAATTGGATGTTTACATATTAATATTGATGAGGGCACTTGCTAATTTATAGCATGCATCTATGAGGCATTTGATGGATTTGAACTACAGGACTGCATACTTTCAGTAGGCTTTTAAACAATCAGAAGTATTGCACTGATTGGTACTATGCTCCATTAAATCTTATAGGAAGAAGGTTTGTGAAAGTGCACCACTTTTATCCAACTCTGATCTGTGTGAGGAATATGTAGGTTTTACAGTAACCTACTTAAAAGTCATCCACTGCTTTGGTGTTATTTCAGGTTCCGAAAGCCATGAAAAGGTTACTTGGAAGTCTGCATCACAATTTCACAATTTTTATTTAGAAATGAAATTTTTTTAGAAAATTCCAAGTTTTCATTTAGCAAATACTGCTCATGACATCTACAGTAAACTGCTTGTTGTTGTGAGCTGTATCCCAATGAGGTTTCTTCCTTTCCTGTTTTGGTTGTTTTCTGCAAATTATACTTAAGTCATGTGGCCAACTCACATGAGCTTCAAATGACTGCATGTGTAATCGTGTTTTGTTATATATGACAGTCGTGGCCAATATTCACAGTCAGACCCAGTTCCCTGTTGTGTGATATAACAAACACAGAATAAAGAATAGCCCCGTTCCTAAATTGCCTGCAATGTAATTAAGAGCTGGCATAAAAAGCAGTTGCAACAAACATTAGAAAGGTACAGAGGAGAGATGATGGAAATCATAATAAGAAAGTTAATGTATACAGCATATAAATAAGATCATTCACAGCAATATCGTAAGACCTACTTGTATGTTTTATAAACTAGCACTTTAAAGCCAAACAAATCATTGCAATCAAAACTTATCTTCTGGTGAATAAAAACAGAAGAGTTGAATTTGAGAAGCGTCTTGGACAGTGCTACTACTGTGTGTCTCTAAATTACTTGTGTCTTGTTTAAAGCAGCACTTCATAAAATGTGCTGTCCACAACTAAATTAAATTGTATCTTAATCTACATTTCTTGGATGAAATAAAGGAAGGAAGAAGTATTTTAAAATTCCCACACTGTTTTCAGGAGATGGCATGCTCATAGACTGTGCCTTTTTTTTATTATTATTGCTATTATAAAATATATATTTTTATAATAATATAATTATTATATATATATAGGAAAATAATAATAAAATGCGCCCCAGTTATTTAGGCCTGTTGAGAGCAAGCTACTTCCATGAATAACTGCTCATCCAATTCCATGAGCATCTATTATTAATGTGTGTGAGAAAATATAGCTGTAGTTAGCAGAGACTACTCCTGAACAACGTGAGCACAAAGAACTGCCGTGATCTCTTTGAGTTGAAAATTAGCCTTTCTTTATCTGCATGTAACGTTTACAAACATAGTAGTACTGGGATAACGAAAATATGGCGCAGGCGGAATTTAGTCAGAGTAAATTTTGTCTGATTTTAGTCCTGACTGTATGCATTTCTCAGAAGAAAGGCACCCATTCTTTTCTAAATATCCCAGTATTATTTTGCAGATAAACAGACCAGTGCTACCCACATTTTATTACCGTTCACAGTTGGTGCTCTGTAATTCTATGTAATTTTAATTAAAGAAGAATTCTGAGACAGTCTCCCCCTGTGCTACCACCAAGCATACAATTAAGTGTGTACAGTTTCTGCTGGGAACAGTCAGACAATGATTTCAGATTAATAATTTATTATTGCTTCCATAGTTGTTCCAAATAATAGCAATAATAAAAAAAGGCACAGGCTATGAGCATGCTATCTACTGAAAACAGTGTGGGAATTTCAAAATGCTTCTTCCTTGGTGTAGATTTTAAACATTGGGAGTTTACAATTCTGTCCTATGGATACTGAAGAGAAGTAACTCCGTAGCACTGCAGTCTGAAAATTGCTTGCTGGAGGGCCCTTACTGTGTGCTTGAGTCAGGAAAGCAACATAAGCAATTTCATGTACAGTCTTTCATCATCCTTTTGGTTTTGAATAAACGATTGTTCTAATACTTCTAATATCGAAGATCCGATTTCTGATCTTGACCGTTCTGGCATTTTCTTCAAATTGCAATCAATATCAAAATAATGGTAGCACCTGGCTTTCTATGAACAGACACATCTGTGCTGATCTTTTCCAGCAAATTTTAAAAGCACGGCTTTTAGTTTAACTGCCCTTCCCTAGTTATCCTTACAGTGCTTCAGAACAATTCCTGTAAGTCTAGAGTGATCTTACCTAGTAGAATCTTAAATAAGATTCATCCAAATTGAAGGAATCAACAATACATTTGAGATTTTTTCAGATGCTGAAGTGAGTAATCAGGGAATTCACTTGAATGCTCACATAATGACAGAAACATATTTGAACCAGAATATGCGCTGCAGTTCCTCATTGGGAAGTTTTCATGTGCTCTCTTGTTATTGCCTTTATTTTTAAGGACTGTTAGAATGGAATATTAGAGTTTATGTCAGATGGGGGAAAAGACTCAGCTAGTAAATTAGCTCAAACTACAATTTAATCCAGACAAATGAAAACTATAAGGTTGCATTTTGGTTTTTTTTCTTTCCAATCAAAGAAAAATAAACCTTTAAAAGCAAATGTTATTCCACCAGTTCTCAGTTAACAGTTTCTTTAAGTTGGTACTTATCAGCAGTCCTCACAAGAAGCAGAGGTGATTCAAGTTTTCAGATATTCAAGACGTCCTGAGTGAATGCACCTATCTGAAAATCACACAATTTGAGGGGGAAATGATACCCAAATCAATGTCCTCATCAAAAGGAAACCTCAAAAGACATGTCAATATCTAATTTTCTGAGAGAACGGTAGAGCTACTAAGATTTAAAATTGTTGCTTGAGTTCAGTGTCACAGTTAGGAAACTTGCTTTTTGTTTGAGTGCAGGGTCATCCCTTTCAAGTGTGGCATAAAGTCCGTGCCACAATTCGGCAAATTAAGAAGTACCCACTCTCCTTAACCATCAGCCTACTTAGGTTACATAACGTGTGTCTGATGTCTTAGTCTTAAACAGCTTCCAAGTAATTTCTAAAATTTTGGGCTTCAGAACTATCAAGACAGCTAACTTATATGTTTATAAAGAATTTGTAATTTATAAATTATTGATATGTCACACTGGAAGTTGTAAGTATACGAGGAGAAAGCTTTTTTTATCTTAATGTGATGGACTGCCTTCAGCTAAGTGAGCAGAAGGATGGGCTGAGATTTTCTGAAATGTTCAGGCTATGCAGAAATGTGCTCATAGTGGCATTGATACACATTTTACATCCAGTTCTGCAGGAACACAATCAGAGCACAGTCCCATTGCATCTGAGCAAGTGTTACCATTTTCAATCCCTTTCTGCTTTACTGATGCCAATGAGTGTTTCAAAAATATGAACTCTAGTTATGAGTTTGCAAGACACAAGGAAACACTTATGTCACCTGCCCATTTTCTTATGTCAAGATGTTGCTTGAGAAACACTTCAAGAAAAATAACCTCACTAAATAAGTAAATAAGTAAATATTGCATGCATCTTTTTCTGATGCTTTCTTGAGATAAAATGTGTTTTAATATTTTTTCCAGACATTCGGGACAGTGGGGGACCTAAGCCTGTGATGGTGTATATACATGGAGGGTCCTACATGGAAGGCACTGGAAATTTGTATGATGGCAGTGTTCTAGCAAGTTATGGGAATGTGATAGTCATCACAGTCAACTACCGCCTTGGGGTACTTGGTAAGAAGCTTTCAGATTTCCATTAATCCCTCATATGTGTAATGTGATTCATGTTATATATGAGTGTACTCTTCAAAAAAAACCCCAAAATTATTGATACTGTTTCCTTTGGTTTACAAATTTGTCAAAGAGAAAAAAAAGAGGATGAGATAAATGGCATTGCAAGTATTATTTGTGTTGTTTGGTTTGCATTTAGTGATATCAAGCAGGTGTTTCCATTGCTGAGTTGTTCAGACCAGATCTTGTTTTCTGTGGATAGTGGCAATGCTTTAGTTCATAGATAGGTGAATTAGTTATATATATATAAGTTAAATCATAGACAATAATGTTTTCTGTTGGAAGTGATTAAGTTTTCATTAACAAATTTTTTTCATGCTTTGAAAAAACTAAGTACTTTATCAAAATATTATTTAGTAAGAGTTACACTGTACACCTATTTATTTTGAGTTCCGTTGTGGTTTTAAAATGAGTTGTGGTTAGAATTCAATTAACTCCAATACTTCTTTTCTAAACCAAATTGTAGAGTAATAGAGTTATTTCTGATTGTTTCAAATGTGGTGAATAGGATATGCTGATGCTGCTGGTAGACTTGACTGGTATGTCTCTGGTTGGTTGTATTTCTAAAAAATGTACTTTGTTATTTGTTCACCACGGCCACAGAGATGATAAAAGTCTGACAGGTCTTATGGCAGTGATGTGATTGTTTGTTTTGTTCTGTGTGTTCTACTGCAGTGTTACTTGCTAAGGCTCCTGCAGGTAGGGTTTCAATTCTCGGATATTTTGAAAGTCAGAAGAGTAATTTTGCAGTACTTGCATAGGTTCCCTGTAACATCTGAAGTAGGTTGATAAGCCGGGTGTCATTCAGAGCAGCAAGTTGGTTCTGAAGATCAGTGAACTCTATTTTCAGTTTGTGGGCAACAGCAAGGTCTGCTACTCTGTTCTTCTTTTGTATGGTCATTTTATTTCATCAGCACTTGGTTTATTTCTGTTTTGAAATCAATTAGCATAATGATGGATTTGTTTTTTTTTTCCTGCTTCATCATCTCTGCAGTTAATCTCCGGTGGTGCCATGTGTATTAAAATTTGCTATCTGAAAACAGTGTATTTTTTACTGGGAATGGATTTTGACTTAGATTTTGAAGACCTAATCTATGGTAGTTGCCTTTTACAAGGATGCAATATATTCCAAAACAATCAGAAAAATGACTGTTGCTGGACTTATCTCCTTAGCATCTGGCTGGAGGTTTCATTTGTGATGTACTTCTTTAAGGAAGAAAATACTGATGTTTTTCATGTTTGTCTCCCAATTTACTTTGAGTCCTTGGGCATATATTTGTGCTGTGGTTATTAATCTGTGACTATACACAAACAAGTGTGCTTGTCCTTCATATTTCAAACATTCATGTGTATTTTATACCAGAAGGGTACTCTGTTCAGTAATATAGTCGCCGTCATCTGAAGGAATTGTTTGTTTTAATAAATTATGTGGTCTGGTTCCTATATTTACTGGCAGTTGCAGTGTTAGAAAGTGCTCATTGCTTGAAAGATGAGAATTTCTTTGTAACAGTAATGGTTTTTCCTTTTGGAATTTTAAGACTGATCCCTGAGGTAACCCACTGCTAACATCTTACTGAGCCTGGGAGGTTTCCATTTGTGTTTGTGCTTTTGTGCTTCTTTGAACTTTGTGCTCTTTACAGAGCTTTCAGGGAGCAGAATGTTACTTTTCCTTCAAGTGGGACCTATTGCAGTAAAACTTCTGAAACTCACAGCAGAATCTGGTGATTGGCATGTATACTTAAGACTACTTTCAAACCAACTAAAATAATCCTTTATCAAGTTTGTAGTGCTTTCTTAGTAAAATAAAGGTATTTTTAAACTATATATAAAAGTCAGGTATTTTGTTTCTGGTACAGTGCCATCTGCCAGGTATACAATAAATAATGGTTACATATCTCTAGATGGGCAGTGTAGAAACATGCTGGCAATCAGAAAACAAAATTTGCACAGTTTGCATTTTTTTTTTCCAGGTTTCTTTGTGTTTCCTTGTGTGTAGACAATTGTGTAAGATAACCTCAGAGTTGGACTCTTGTGTAATCATACAAGATGTCAGCTTTTTTGTTTTCAAACTTGTACTCATCAGTGTACAGAAATGCTTGTCCATAATGGTACAGCAGAACATTACTCTTTTCAGTGGCATTAAAAAAGACACGTTTTTACAAATACGTAGCTGACAAATTCTCAGCTTCCCTTACCTGACTCACATCCCATAAGATTCAGCTTCTCTGTCCATTGCTTGTGGGGAGACTAGATGTCAATTCATTGCTGTGTAAAATGCTTGGCTGTATGGGGAAAATAATATAAGGATTCTTTCTTTGAAAGGTAATATAGGGATTCTTTCTCCACAGGAGAAGATTTAGGGCCTGTCTTCCCATTTCTCGTGGCTGGGTTTCTTGCATCAGTCTTTGTGGATGAATACCTTAATGTAGATGATCCATGTGAGTCTTAGGAATTCTGCCATTGGTTTAACCAGGACTCTCCCTGTGACATTTCTTAACAAGAAATCCAATTAAGGAAATGTTTAGAGATTTTGTCCAAACTGATAGTGATGGGAAGGGAGGATATGCTATTATATTGGATTCTTTTCATTATTGCTATTAAGTCCATAGCAGGCAGCTCTTGGTACAGTTCAGAGTATTTTCTTTTTATTCTGAGCTGAAACAATCTTTGTCCTGTAGATTAATCTGCTTGAGGCAGTACATTTTATAGAGATGCAAGATTTGCTTCTTTCTAAAATTTTAGAATGCTTAGAAGTGGAATGTCTTTGGTAAAGATAATAATAAAAATTGAAGTGTGGAGCAAGTGCATTTATAAACCAAACAAAAACCCTGAGAGTTCTCTGACCCAATTTTGTCTTTGTCTGAAGCAAGTCTGAGAATGAAAGTCTGTTAGAATCTTTCCTTAGATATTGATGAGATGGAGTAGAGAATTGTTTGCCCTGGAAACTTGGGGACTACTGAATAAGAAACCATTGGAGACAGACTATTTATATCTTCTTTACAATCTTTTTAAATGCGAGTCTTGTGCAAGCAATCTTTTCTAGTGAGTAGTCTGATGTCCTTGAAGGACAGCACAGAAGTAGGTGCAGGCAAATTTTTTATAGTTTTATAGCTTATTTTTATGAAAAGACAGATCTGAAGATAAATTTGGGTTTTGAACTCAACTAAATTAAGTTTTCAAATGTTTATCTAAAATATCTCCAGCTGGTAAAAAGGCAGGAGCTTTTTATTTAAATTTCATAAAAGAAACGTAAAGGGATTATAAAAAGAGTTTATTTAACATCCAGGCAAAGATCATGATAGATGGATTTAATACCCCCAGTGCTGTTTCCTATGTTCTTTCTTTTGAAAAGGAGAAGCCAGCATTGGCTTCTTCCCCTTTAGCTTAAGTTTCCAAGAGGAAAGAGAAATTTGTAAACTGATTTATGCCAACTGAATACACATTTATTCATTTTACTAATTTCTATTTCTTGCTTTTGATTATCTTTTGGCCACTGGATTTTAATCGATCTGAAAGAAAAACATTTTTAATGCAGTTCATGATTAAACTGAATTGAGAGATGGAAGAATAATTCAGAGGAATCTCTAAGTAAACCACTGCTTTAAATTTCCCAATTTTTTCCTCTTCAAGGCAATGGTTTTTTCCACAGAAACAGTGAGCTGTCATTCCAAGTTTTTTTTTGGCCATTTGTTACTTTTAATGACAGTTGGTAATTATTTACGCTTTTACTGTAGCACTGTGTTTGAAAGGCCTGATATCCTCATAAATATTAATTCCTTATTTTGCCAATGAATGAACTTAAATCAATGAGACTCATAAGTACAGTGCTTCTCGATACATAAAAGCCTGGTTTGCCCACAATTTGAAGCAGTACAACAAGAAAATTGTTGCTTATGCACAGAGCTTTTGACAGGAGCTATTCTTAGAGTCCTATTGTGTTCTTCAGCCTAAACTTCAATTTTTCAATAGTTTGTTGTGTCAGATGGCTATGGTGGGCTGAAGCAGTTGTGTAAAATAAAATACTGAAGCAAAGGAAAGCAAAGCAAAAACACTGCAGCGAAAGTTGCTTCTTACTTTTGTTAGCAACTCTAAGAGCTTTGTGAACAATAAAGTGAACGGAGGATGAGTCTTATTATGCTTTTACATTATTTGTTGATCCATGTTAGAATACTTGCGTTTGGAAGATAGGCTTGAGAATATATTTTGCTCCTCACATAATAGAGTCAAGCAGCAATGTGTTACAGGCAAAAGAGTGACATGAGATATAGACTCAGCCCTGCAGTACATGTTGGGCAATTTGTCCCAGGCCCTGCATTTCTGCCGTTACCCGTGGGTTGAAGAACTACTTATTTGACCATTTGCAGGATCAAACGTAGGGATGAGCACACACAGCAAAAAAAAATCAGAGCAATTTTGAAGTACCTGGCCATTCATCAGGGAAGTTGGACTAGCTGACCTTTGCAGGTCCCTTCCAACTCAAATGATTCCATGATTTCAGGAGTCTAGTTCCAGTGTGATTGACGGGAGGACATTGTCTTCTTTTCTTTTCATTTTCTTTCCTAAGCAGAATAGAAAACTGAATTATTTCAGTGCTTTCAAATTAGATCTGATTTATTCTGGGCTAATATAATTTGTTAAACTGTTTGATTCTTTTTTTGGGGGGGTAATCATTTACTGTGTACTTTTTCCATCACAAAATGTTTTGCTTTTGTTGTTTTCTTGCCTTGCCTTTCTATCATGGTAATAGTACTGAAATTATTAAATAGAAGATATCTTTCAAATATGTTTTCAGTACCACTCAATCGATGCTTTCAAAAATATCTATTAACTTTAGACATAACCCTTTCAAAAATTGCCTCATTGACATTTAGGCATTTTTGCCTGTATAATCCGTGGCCTGTTCTGCAGTCTGCTGAACTGTCTTGCCCCTCAGAAATAAGCCT